CAACTAATTACCTAGAGTAAATGACTAGAGCACTATATAATAATCAGTACTAAATTCTCAATGCCCTTTCTGAGGATGTTGCACAGCAATTCAGCATGCAATAACCAAACTGAAACAGAAAACTGAAAAGACGGGAAATATTTTCTTTACTAAATATGTATTTTCCTTAATATATAATGTTTAATCCTTCTGTATTCTCTATGGACATATGGCACCTGTCACTTAAAGCTTTGTTTTCTCCTGCTTTGTTTTGGTTCTTCTGCATGATGTAAGACCACAGGTTAATGCAGGATTAACAGAATTTTTTTTAACCCAGTTTAGCAACAGTCCCATGGTTTTCATACAATTCCACTGCTGCATCTTGGTTTTAATATCTGCACCACATATGAAAACCAGCCTGAAGTGTATAACACTAAATTTCCAATCCTGAGCTAGGATTTAGAGGCAAAAGTGTCAAATATCAGGATTTAGAGCAATTCACATTTTTTTCTAATCCTACTATCACACATAGCAATTTCACTTAAGCTTATTTTTTTAAATATCCACCATTCAGTGCAAAAAAAAAGATGCACGAAAACATACTCTGTATGAGCAGCAGTTGCATTGATTCTGCTAACTTGAAGGCTAAAGTAAAGAACAGAACAAGCCTATGAGAACTAGCCCTATCATCAGTTTATGTAACATGAATTAGGTTAACTCATTTGACAAAAATAAGTAAAAAAAAAAAAAAGCTGGTAAAATACAGCTGTTATGAAACCTGCAGAAAACTAACTCATGTTTAATGTGTCCCTTCAATCATAGAATCATAGATTATGTTGAGTTGGAAGGGATCCATCAGGATCATTGAGTTCAACTCCTGGCCCTGCACAGGACACCCCAAGAATCACATCATGTGCCTGAGAGCTTGGTCCAAATGCTTCTTCAATGAAGAGTAAAGTTTCAGGTGTAAATTTTACAGTAAGTTGTCATAATTTTTTACAGAAGGTAGATGACCAAGTATCTCAGAGTTAAGGATTTTGAAACACAGAGTACCTACTATACCACTAATGAATATTTATATTTCTCTGAATTATTCATTTTAATTCCCAGGAACATTTACTTTTATCTATACAAAATTCTTGTGTTTTGTTTTTTTTTCCTGATTTCCTCATGTTGATTTGAATAATAGGGCTTTGAGAAACCTGGTCTAGTGAAAGGTGCCCCTGCCCACAGAAGGGAGATTGGAATGAGGTGATCTTTGTTGTCCCTTCCAACCTTAGCCATTCTGTGATTCTATGACTCATGTAAAGACTTATCAGCTTAATAACTACTTTTCAAAGCACTTAGTAGTATTCGTCTTCAAACTGTGAATTTATTTTATCTAAATTTTATTTTTGTCCACCAGAAAGACAGCAACTGTCTCAGGGTTCAAACAGTGTGAGAGTGATTCTAAATATAAAGTGTCATTCAGGGAAAACTATTGTCTAATATCAGGTCAGAAGTAAAACACATCCTGTGAGGCATTCATTGCATCACTGCAGTCATGGCTCACAATAAAACCATTCTTGCCAAATGGTAACAGAGTACTGCCTGTGGACATCTTCCAAAACAAACGTGGGAGACAGAATGTAGAATTGTTCACTAGAATCACCCCACCCTCCTCTGGATATACAAAAAAGTGCCCTCCATAAGGTGCTGCAGACAATCTATATAAATGTGAGGGCACTGGCAGCCAAGGTCACAACCTGCTGGTGCTGAGCCAGAGAGATGGAGTTTACCCCCATTGCTGGGATACTCACCCTCACACATACCATCCCACTTCCCAGTAGGTAAAAGGGTGCATGTGACAGTGTGACTCGTTACCGTGACACCATGTACACTTTGCAACTACACCTGTTCCAGGCCTTCCACTCTTCCTGAGGGAACACAAAGATCAGACATCTGTAAGGAAGAGCAGGATTTTACAGCTGAGTCCCCTCTGTCACTACGAGGCAGAAGGGGAAAGACGTGGACTTCTGGCATCCACTCCTTAATTCACACTGTATCACATGCTTGGAGTAGCCTGACCCAGCCACACTCTGTCCTTAACCTGAGGTCAATAAAGAAGAATCAGCCAGAAAGAGCAGAATGTAATTGCCAACTTCCCTTCATTCTGCTCAGATTACAGAAGAAAATCAAACCGAAACTAAAAAGCCCAAACCCAAAGCAAACAACTGTGTTTATGTGCTATTGAAACCAGTTCTTTGGGAAATAAAAATGCACTGCAAGTATTTATGTGCTTAAAGAATGTGTTTCGAGTGTGTTCACTACCTTATAAATATTAAAAAAACCCAAACCCATGGGGCTGTATTCAGAGGTGGAAAAACCTTCCATTTGAGTTCAGTTTAGAGAACAAGAGGTCAAAAAGCTGCATGTGCAACAAGAGTGCCATTTGCAGGAATCTGCATTGCATAGGCAGTTGAAAACAAGTAACCTCTTCATTTTGAGGAACTGAATTCAACTTTCTCATAATTAAGTTCTCCAAAATCAATAGGAGACTTCATTATTTCTGCCGGGCTGGAAATTGTTATAGCAGGTATATCTAACTTCCAAAATCACTCCTTCTGTCATGAATAATATATACAAGGCTCCCAACTAGCACTTAAGCTTTATTTCCCTTTCCCCCCCCCCCCCATTTCATATGTTCTTCAGCAGGAGAATAGAATAGTTAACAACTTAAGATGTATTGTGTAGACTTGCCTCAGTGAAATCTGAGTCAGAAGCAGAAGAAATTAGTCCACACAGATTATCCACGCTCCTTACTTTAAAGGAAGCTAATTCCTTTAAAACTGTCTCAGCCGAGTGTGGCCTCACACCTCTTACTGTAAAGGTACAGCCACAGCTCCACCCTTCCTTCCCCTGCAGGCAGCTTCCCTAGGACAGTGCCCACTATCCGTACTCTGCAAATAGTAACGCTCATGTATTGTACAATAAATACCAGAGAAAAAAATGGTCTATTCAAACGCTGAGTAGGAATGTAAAAGAAGAGAGGGCACACTTGTTGAATGACCTAGGAAGAATAAGCTATTCTCCCTGACTCTGTATTTTCTAGTGTCAGATTAAATCATTACCCCCTTGAGTCTGATTTACTTGCATGTCTATGGCAGGTTAAAGACATATCACAGGTTATTGCTGCCAACCCTTCTGTTCCTTGTTAGACACACACAGGCATTGCTAAAGAACACCTAAGGAAATGGTAGATCTGCACCTCCTAGAAAATCTCTGTAACTCAGTGATCCTTATAAACTGTATATAGGTGTAGTAGTATTTCAGGTTTTGCATAAATATCAGTCACATTCCTTCCTCCCTTTCTGGATCCTGAGAGATTTCAACCTTTGTTGGAAATAATCACATCTTATCTTGAGTTAAAATACACTCAGAGTACAATACTGCAGTTTTTAAAAGATACAAAAGAAATAACACAAATCCCACACTTTTCCTAGGAATTATACTGATTAATTCAGATTTAACTAAAATTCATGGGATTCATTCCTTGAATTGCTAATCTACATGGAGATCCTGTAGCCTTGCATGAGCTTTCCTAGCGACCTGCAGCTGTTGCCAGTGGCATTAGAGTAGAAGTTCCATGTAGCATACACCACGAGAAGTGAGGGAAGTTGAGGGGAGATATCTGACAAAGCCAGGCGGGATCACTATAATCTTCTAGTACAAACTGCTCTGAATCCTTCTCTAAGGTTTGTAGCACACTCCTGAGCAAATTTATCTCTGAACTATAGCTAAGTTCTAAGGCAAAATGCCAGTCTTGGCTATAAAATTTAAGAATAATAGAGAATCCTTCATAATATTTGGTAAGTGGTTCCAGCGTTTCATTACTCTCAGTCTTGAAAATGTGCATTTTAGCGCTCAACTGTACTTGTCTCATTTTAGATTTTGTAATTATGGGCTGCAATGAAATCCCCTGCTATTACACATTAGTGGTTAGTGCTGTTCACATCTCTGCCAAGGCTTTTAAGTGCCAGCTGAAGCACTAAAACAAAACAAGGAAATGTCGGAAGAGCCGGGTAAGATGTCACGCAGAGCATTTCCAAGTGGCAGCAACCAGATTTTGCTTATCAGGGAGTAACAGCGGCAAAACACCCTGAGTTTGGACACAGACCAGTAATGGGGAGTCACAGCGCAGGCAAATCAGTTTAATGGTGTCTGTGGGGGCTGATTTACTGGCACCATGTGTCACTGGCAACTTCTTGTGTGCTCCAGTCAACACTGTTGGCTTTTGCAATTCCATCATGGGTCTTGCAACACCAGGGGTTTTTCCTGAAGCGCGAGTTACCAGCAGATACGCAAGGTAGGGAGACCGAGATTCCATTTTATTAAGTCAATGAATATTTCTGCGCAACGCAGGGCAAAGCTTCAAGAGATGAAATGCCGCTTTGGGGTTGTATCATAGATACAAATATCATATCTCGGCCAGTGCTGTGGTCACTCAGTTTTGTAGTAATACAAAATACGCGGCAGTATTCCCTCTGAACACAAAGACTCCCAGCGGACGTCCCGGCTGGGAGTGCCCCGAGCGGGGACATCCCGCCTCGGAGAGGGAGGGGGTTGTTCCGATTAAGAGAGAAACAGGTTTCGCTCCGGGGAACGACGCCTCAGGGCACAAGTGACCCCAGGCTGGTGCCCGGGAGCTGGTTCAGCGGGATCCCCCGGGAGCGACACGATCCCCCCTCGGGAGCCGCCTCAGCCCTCCCGCCTCCCCCCTCACGCTAAGGGGCACCGGGGCGGGGCGAGGGGCGGGGGCTGAGGGCGTGACGCGCACCGTGCGTCATGTGACACACCCCCTCGCGCGCCCCCGGCTCCGCCCCTCCCGCTCCGCCCCCGCCGCGCCCCGGCCACTGATTGGCCGCGCACCGACAATGCGCGCGGCAGCGCCCCCCGCCCCGCCCCCGCCGCCGGCTTCACCCGCCAGCCACGCGCCGCCGGCCGCGAGCTGCCCGTGCGGCGCCGGCGCGGCCGTTACGGGCGTTGAGCGACCGGCCCGGGGCACCGAGCGGGCACCGAGCGGGGGCGGGCGGGCTCATGGCCGCGACCGACCGGACAGCGCTGGGGCCGCTGGTGGGAGCCATCGATCAGGGCACCAGCTCCAGCCGCTTCCTGGTGAGCACAGCGCGGGGAGATCGGGGCGGCGCCGGAGGCAGGCAGCACCCCCCGTACGGTCTGAGTAGGGGACCCGCGGCTCCTGCGCCTTCTCCCGCTTCCACCCCGGCGAGGTCCTTGGCCGTGCCCTTGGGGAAGGGCAGGGGGAGCGGGCCCGCAGGGCCGGGGTGCGCTGACCCGGCTCCTGCCTCTGTACCGCCGGTGGCCCGGGGTGCCGGAGCCACCGGTGTTCCCGCCGGTGTCCCTGTGCCGCATTCCCGCCGGGAGCAGCGCCCGTCTCACGGAGCGCGGCCGGGAGCGGTCCCAGGGCGAGCCCCGGACCAGCGTCTCTGCTGCTCCACGGGACCGCGAAATCCCGCTGCTCCGAGCAGGCTACGCTTTAAATCTCTGCCGGTTTAAATCTGCGGGTCGAGTGTCTCACCCTGAACGGAATCAAACGGACGTGGTCCTCAGGCATTAGAGAGGTAGATCCGTGCGAGTTCAGGGACTACGATTAGCTGCTGTTCAAACAATGCGATGACTCCGCTGTGCTCCCCTCTAAAACCTACCCAGGCCTGCTGCGGTTCCAGCCCTCATGTCAGTGCATCCTGTGCACTGTAGGTATTCAGGTGGCTGAACCTTGTGAAACACCGACTTGTTTAAACACTGGAGGAAGAGAAGTTTGTTTAAGGATGGAACAATTAATATATTAATCGTATATATAAGCCTTGAAGGATCTAGTTATTTGTATATTATGCAATAGACTGTAACTAATATTATTATATATGAAAGGTATGATATAAACTTCCTGCTTGCAAATCTCTACAAATACCCTGTCCCTTAGTCAGTAAGTCATGGTAATTTGACTTACTTGAATCCCACTGATAAATTCCTCCATGAAAGGGATAGAGATACTGATAAATGTTGTCAGATATGCACAGTATTGAATTGGGAAATTGAATGTTTTGGTTTGCTTTCTTTTTTTTTTTTTTTTTTTTTTTTTGTGCAATGTTCTTTCATGAAGCAGGAGACTAGAATATCTTCTTGACCTGTGTTACTGTTATTACTCAATATCACGACCTTCATGGGATTGTCAAATGACAAAACACAGATCTGGGGGTGGAGGGAAACTCCAAACTGACAAATGACACCAGTAGTCTGCCCTGAATGCCAGTCAGGAGTCCTTTTTGGGAACAAGTCTAAAGAAGTTCCCTTTAACACATGAAGATAAATTCTATCTGCTCTTACATATACGCCAAGTTAATTTTTTCTTGTCCTGAAAGGATAACATGAGTAGAACTGAAAGAGACACTACAAACTTTAAATTTATATGCACGTGCTTTTTACAAGTTCCTCTTACAAGGAATTTCTTACACTAGACACATTCATTGATGGCTTGTACATAGTCGGGGGGATTTTGCCTGTCTGCATGAGGTATGTTTCCTTTGAGGAATCAGGTGCTCCCTAATTTTTTCAAAAAGTGTAGTGTGTCTGTCGCTCTTCAATTCTTCTTGTATCTGTCTCAGTTTCTCTCAACTCATGTCAAAATACAACATTGTCTTAAACTTGGCAGTGTGATCATACTATTGTGATAATGAAGTTGCATGGATTAGAGCAAATAAGACATGTGATCAGTGAGTTAAATCAGAACATGGGGGGAGGGAAAGAAGAGGGCAAAGTGTGCAGGGATCTGCTACAAGCCACATTGGTCATGCAGATAACAAGTGTACCTAGAGAATTCTGTGCTGGAAAGGGACTGCTGCAGTTAGAAGAGACTTCGCTCTGAAATATTTTAAGCCAAAATGTAACGTAGTGTTGTATGTGCCTGAGTTGTTTCCTTGGCTCTCTTATTGCCTCTTGATCTTTTACCATTAGTTGTTTTGCTTGCCTTTCTCAATGATCTCTCTACATTTTTTTTCTATAGTACTTCCAACAATTTTTGTCTCTGCCAAGTCACAAGCCAAAATCAAGTTGTTGTTTACTTTGCCTATCATCTAGTTTTTTAAGGTGGAAGACAGGTGATTTCGACCAGGTTAAAGAGTTCTGGGTGAAAAATTGTCTGGTCCTATGAGACCAAAGAGTAGTGTCAACAGTTCAGAGTCTAAATTTACAATTACTGGCAGATTTACCAGTGGTGTTCCACAACTGTCAGCAGTGAGGGCTGATACCCCACAGTATTTTCATCAACAGCTGTGGGGATGGGTTCAAATGCCCTCTCAGATGAAGGCAACAAGTTGTCTGCACCTCTCCAACCACAGTTTGCAGAGAACACAGAACCAGCCTTTTCTCAAACATGCATAGAAAAAGACAACATGCGATGAACACAAGTTGCAGCAAGTAAAGTTTCAAATAGATGGAAAGAAGAAACGTTTCACTATAAGGACCCAGAAAGTCTGTGGAATATTCAGCTTTGCAGATACTCAACACCTCACCAGAAAAGGCCCAGAACAACATGGTCTTAAATTTAGTGAGCAGTGAGTTGAGCTAGATGACCTCCAGAGATTAGTTTCAGAACAAATTATTCTGTGTAGGGACACAAGTTTTTAGTCTGTTACGTGAATGAGGAGTCTGTGTGAGCACAAGTAATAAAGAGGCACCAGAACTCAGATGCATTTCTGTTACTATCACTCCTTATTTATCTTTGCCTCTCATGCAAAACACACATGCAGTTTTAGTTTATGCTGTAGCTTTACCCTTCAGGAACCCCATTTTGTATCTCTACTTTGATAAGCTACTTTTGCAAAATTAACTATGTAACTATTTTTGAGCTTGCAACTTTTCTGTTAAGTTGGGTTGAACCTGGATAACAGATTCGGAGTTACCAGGGAGAGCTCAGTGTTTAAGGCTCATTTTCTTAAAGATACAAAGCAGGAAAATAAATTGAGTAGGCTAAACAAGTGTACACAGAAGACTAAATTCTGGCTGAGATGTTTTGTCAAATATTTTCATCAAATACTTGCATTTCTCATGTTCCATTTTACATTATTCATGAATTATATAAAAATCCACCATAACTTCTTTTGCAAAAGTCTAAGGCTCAATAGCTAATGGTGAGCTGAACCACTGTTTGATCTCTTGAAAAGTATTTGCTGGATAAAGTCTTTCTGGCATTTTATCCAGGACATCAAGAATTGAAAAATACAGTGAAGTACCTGTACAGTACTAGGTTTGTCAGGCAGACACAGAAAATTTTTTTCTCACCCTTGTGAAATATTTCTTTCTTCCTTTATTTCATCTCCAGAAGAAGCATTCAAATAAAGATAAAACACACTGCAAGCATTGTTTTCAATAAACAAAAACTGATTTTAGGTAAGGAAGAGATTAATACCCATTAAGCTTACCTTTCAGAGGGGAATTCATTTCACCTCTCTACTGAAGTAACATGACCTTTTGGGAAAAAGCAAAACTTCATTGCATAGCTAGCCAAGAATGGTTAAAAATATTGCAAATGCATTTTTTTCTCTAGCTCCTATCACTTAAAATGCAGTGCAGTTTTGCGCTTTAATCCCATAATCGTGAGCAAGGGATGTCTGTTCATCAGGAGTCTTCCAAGAAAGATGATTTCTAGGAGACTCATTAAACTGTACTTATTCATAAATTCTGACTGTGTGCATTCCTGGTTAAATGTTAAAGAGAAAATTATTGTTTGTCTATTATCCTTACCTCAGCTGGGTTGATTTCAATGCAATTGCAGAACTCCAGTTCTGAGCTTGTTTGCCTGCAAAGCCATGGCTTTTCCAGCTTAACAGAAACTCATGAGGATACAGCACAGACTAACAAAAATAGCTTTTCTGTAGGCAGAGTTAGGTTACAAAAGTTGAGAGTCATGGAAAGTTACTTCTAAAATCTGTTTTCTATATTGTCTTTTCAGGTGTGCAGCTTCTTGCATCACTTCTGTGAGCCTCATATTTCTTTTCATTCTTTGAAAATTGTTATGATGGATTGATAATTTTTTCCACCAAGATAATAAAAACTGAATGTAATACATAATATGTAATATGAGTAACAACACCCCTTCATGTGATGCATTATATTAAAGATCCTATAAAGAGCTTGAATTAAGTGCTCAGCCCTTGTGCTTGTCTGCTTGCTCACATACAGCATGGCTAAGTAGGTCTTTCTTCTCTCCAGTCTTGAGACTCAAGGCTCAAGCTCTAATTCTTTGTTAGGAGTAGAGAGTGGGTGTTATTTATGCCTTCTTTATTCTCTCACCAGATAATTTAGCACATATCTGGTGATTTTCACTTTCATGTCTGTTCAAGATCGCTCTACGTGTCCAAATAGCGTAGACAATTCTTTCATGACTACTGCTGATAAAATAAGGACAAAACTGACTTTGACTCTTTCCCCCATTCTACAAAATGCAAGAGATCGGTATCATAAACTTGAACCAGTTCTTAATCAGTATGAAAGGAATGAAAGCCTCTACTCCCAACAAATTACAGAAATACACTTCAAACCTGTTCCAAGAGGAATATATCGACCTTATCTGAATTATTCACAGAGTCACAGAATATACTGAGTTGGAAGGGACAAGGATCATTGAGTCCAACTCAGCCCATCCCCAAGAGTCACACCATGTGCCTGAGAGTATTATCCAGATGCTTCTTGAACTCTGTCAGGCTTGATGCTGTGACCACTTCCCTGTGGAGCCTGTTCCAGTACCCAACCACCCTCTGGGTGAAGAACCTTTTTCTAATATCCAACCTAAACCTCCCCTGACACAACTTCAGGCCATTCCCTCAGGTCCTCTCACTGGTCACCACAGAGATCAGTGCCTGCCCCTCCTCTTCCCCTCACAAGGAAGTTGTAACTGCAGTGTGGTCTCCCCAAAGTCTTCTCTTCTCCAGGCTGAACAGACCAAGTCACCTCATCTGCTCCTGGTACAGCTTCCCCTCAAGCTTCACCATCTTCATTGTCCTTCTTTGGACACTCTCTAACAGCTTAAATACCTTTCTTATATTGTGGTGACCAAAGCTGCATGCAATATCATACTTACTGTCACTTACTTCTCTATCTCACCAGTTGAAGAAAAACAGGGATTATATAGGAGATTTTTTTTTTTTTTGACAACAATTGTGGGTTTTTGGAGGGAGTAGGCAAGGAAGGCTGTGAGGTCCCATTTACTGTATTTATTCCTTTATTTATCATCATTTATGTTTAAATTTAATGACTCTTTCATATTTGGCATCTTTTCACACATCAGAATTCTATTTATCAGTGTAGAATCATAGAATCATAGAATGATTTGGGTTGAAAGGAACCTTAAAGATCACCTAGTTCCACCCCACACCATGGACAGGGACAGCTTCCACTAGACCAGGGCCCTACTCAACCTGGCCTTGAGCATGGATTGTTTCCTGCAAAATCCCTTCTCCTGAAGGAATGTCTGCTGCTTTTGTTGAGAATGTCAGAAGTTTGTGGATTTGTTTGTAATGGGTTAGGAAAGTGTGTTTACCTAGTTCTTCTCTATGGGCATGAAAAAATCTGTGCATTTTTAGTGTTATTTTTTTCTGTTGAGAATTTGGTACTGTCACAACTTATTGCTGTGTCTGTGTGTCTCACACTCCCGGTTCGCTCATGGCTTTTTCTAATTGATTCCGTGTTTCCTGCTACCAGCAGGAATCCCTTGCAGTGCCTTCTTTTTCAAGGAATACCGAATGATTAATGGTGAATGATTACTGAATGATATTTAACATTGTTAGTAGGTCAGATACAGGTTCAAGAGAAAGTCCTCTATCTTTCTTTATTCTAAAAACTTTTGCTGTGCACATGCAAAACTTAGCCTCTTCTATTAGATCTGTTGTGTAGCATTTAAAGACCCATATCCCATTTTGCAAGTTCCTTCCAAAAGTATAATACTGACAGAGCTTTCCCTTTTTTTTGCATACCTTCATGTCAAGCCTGAGCTGGTACACGAAACACAGATAAGTAAATGTAGCAAAAAGAATGTGGTGGTGCTCTCTCTATGTAATCTTTCCAGCTGGTAAGAGAAAAGAACAATCACATACCTTTTTAAGACTTCCCTTCTGGGCAGTGGAGAGTGAAAATTAGCTTTCAGTGTTTTCCAGAGGTTGTGCTGTTTTCGTCATCGGAGGTTTTCAAGACTTACCTACGAAAAAAGTCCTTGAGCAACCTGGTCTAATCTCATAGCTGATCCTGCTTTGAGCAGGAGGTTGTACTAGAGATCTCTTGAGGTTCCTTTCACCCTGAATTTTTCTGTGATTCTACTGTATAAGTAGAATGTTTCTAAACTTCAAAGTTTTACTCTGAAGATACACTTCAATGTTCCAAAGAAATTGGAGAATCAGAACTTCATCTCCTTTTTGTCAGAATTGTTCTAATAGTTTCAGAGTAAAGTGTACTGTCTAAATGTAATCAAGAGCTTATGGATTAAAAGCTTTAAGAGAAATTCCTAAAATTTGTGGAATGAGAAGAGAGCATTAACAAGGAAGTCTAGAAAAGATTCAGTTGTATCCTGGAGGGCGGATGGGTATAACTGAATTTTGTTTCTTTAGCATGTGAGTGGTTTCTAAATCTGGCTCACCTCTGCTTGCCATAAAAATTAATATGATGTCCTTTTGACATGTTCTGCAGTTCACCTGAACCTGTTGTTAGATTTTACTTTCCAGGTCCCTGAACATTCTTCAAGCAAAAGATTCTGCATGGTGCTTGTGAGAAAGAGCCCTTTACACAGGAATGTCATCACTGCCCACCCAGTTACTCTGGGTTACTCATTGTACAGTTGAATTGGATGTTTTACCAGGTGTCATCTTAACTTGGCCACAGCAGAGATTCCTTTTGGAAACAGGCCACTGATGGTTTATGAAGATTGTTGAGCATTCCACCTGACCTTCTACTGCAAGGCAGAACCTCTAACTTGTGATTCCTTAAGAACACCTGTTAAAATAGTCCTCATGATTCTCCACTCTGCTGGTTTTTGTTGTAGTATATCCATATTTAAGTTACTTTTCTGCATATTCTTCTCTTTTTTAATGTATTCTGTTGCAGCAGTGGCATTCTTTTCTTATCAGGTTGTTCATGAGCTCTGTACTTGTAGATTTTTTTGAGGTAAACTGGGTTCTGCCTGGGTGCTTTTTCTCTCTTCACAGTTTGGTCCCTTCTGTGATTTCTCACAGATTCTCACTCTTCTTAAAAGTGAGCTAACCCAAGAAAACACATCGCTCTGGCATTAGAGTATCACCGCAGCAACTAAAGAAATGTTTTTGCCAATACCAAGGGGTATTTTACTGGGAGATATTCTAAAATGCATCATTTGTTTAATTTCTACAGCCACAACAAGAAAAAATGTGATTCTTTCCCAATCCATCAAGAAAAAAAACAGTTATAATTGACAGACTGACAGCAAAGTTTACCAAAATACTCTTTGCCTATCTTAATTACAAAAATGCATATATCTGAACCTAGGTTATATAGATAGTGGAGTTGCTGATAGAAAATTACTATCCATTATCACAGCACTGTATTTGTTCAAAAGAATAAATGTTAATTGATTGTTTAAACTTCTGTGTTCACAGAAAATTCCATTGTGCAATTTATTTGCAGGTTTTTAATGCAAAAACAGCAGAGCTCTTGAGTCACCATCAAGTTGAAATAAGTCAAAAATTCCCTAAAGAAGGGTATGAATTTTTTTTGTTTTTTATTTGTGTAGACCTTATGTATTTTTATCTATGAGTGATCAAAACTCAAGTTGATTAATAATTATTAGGAGCATAGTATCGGCCATAAAAGACTGTATTGTAGGAAAAATGGCATAAAATAACACACTGGGTGTTCAGTATATGCCTTGAGTTACAAAAAATAAAAACATTTAGTGTTTTGCTCTGATCACTCATTACCGTATTTAATGTCTAAACTTCAAAGTTTAAAACTAAAATTTAGCATCTCATTTAAGGTGGTCATTTTTACAATTTAATCATAGTCTTCAGCTCAATCCATAGAAATATCTTAGCTTGTTTTCTGAATGAGGTTTTTTTTTGTTTATTTGTTCCTAACTGACTTACCATTTGCTGCCAATGCCCCCCATGTGGAATAAAACAAAACAAAATTCTTTGTTTTCTGCAGATGCATTTTTGTGAAAATGCAGCTTACAGTTTAAAAAGGGTTTGAAATTCCTTATACTTTTCCTAGATATGTAAAACATGTTTTATAGTTATAATTTGATCAAAATGTTCAGCTTATTTTTCAGACTAGAATTTCTTTTTTTTAATGTAATTTTTTGCTAACTGGTGTTTACTGTTTGTTAAAGATGGGTGGAACAAGATCCAAAGGAAATATTAAACTCTGTCTTTGAATGTGTGGAGAAGACCTGTGAAAAACTGAAACAACTGAACATAAACATCTCTAACATAAAAGGTACTTAGGGGTAACTGAGGCCTTTAACATACTCGTGGTTGAGCAATTCAGATTCTCTAGTTTTTAAGTTAATAAACAGAAAGGTGGCAGCATGTGCAGCCTCAAATAAAATGTTAAATTGGAGTTGAAAGAAGGTTTTTTGGGAGGAATAAGGAGAAAATAAGTCCCTTGTGTATATTAGCAATGCAGATTTAACCTAATCTTGTAAAACCAAAGACAAGTGATAAATGAAGAAATTCTGAAATTTAATTTAGGACTTATTCGGGAAAAGCTAGTTTCACTGTTGGTGTTGTTGCTATCTCAGTTTGTGGCCAAAAAAAGAGAGAGAGATTTAGAGCACATAGGTTAAGCAGCAAAAGTTGAAAGATGAGTTTTTAGAAGTAACACTTCTAGATTATAAGATAAAGAAGTTGGAAGCTTTTTATTTCCCATTTACTTTCCTCTTCTCCTTACCTGTCCCTCTCTCCTCTCCACCTCTCCTTTCCGTCCCTCCCCCCCCCCCACCAAAAGAGGAAATCAAACCTTCTGAAAAGGATACTTCTTTCTATTTTGTCCTGAAGCCATTGGAGTCACTAATCAGAGAGAAACGACAGTGGTTTGGGACAAGACAACTGGAGAACCTCTGTATAATGCTATTGGTAACTACTATCCTTTCTGAATATGTAATATCATAATACAAACGTGTTGTGGAAAAAATACTTTCCCAGTTTCCTGTGCAGATCTCATTATGGCCTAGCCTACTAATTTCTTTGATTTTTTGATATCTGTGTCATAAGCTGTGTGTTTGTATATATACCAGTGCAGTTAAAAAAACCCTCTTCCATGAAAATTCTAACTTAATAAGTATCTTTATGGGTTTTCAAAAAACCCCCAGTGTTCTTGAGGGCCTCCTTGGTTCCTTTCATGTAATGAAGTTCTGACTTGTGCATAATCACTTTGGAATTTTCAGAATGCTATTGATTTAACTATAAAGGAAAATCGTGTTAAGTGGGTTTAAAGAATCCTATTGATCAGATTTTGCCAGCTGAAAAATGGTAATTGTCTAGAATTGCTCTTTTAGGCTTTGTCAAGTGACAGATACAGTTTAGAATGGTATCACAGTATTTGAATATTCTATAATCAAATATGTGTAGTTAACAGCTTTATCTTAAGCCCAGCTATACCTTAATAACTGACATGGTCCTTTAGTTCAAAGTTTATAAAGGAATAGTAAATAATCAACCTGCTATTTGTTTTTTAACCTCTTAGTTTAGTCACAGTCATCTGCTGCAAAGTAGTGTTAGTCATTTGCCTATACTCTGATCAAGTATATATCCTATTATGTGGAAAATTCTGTTTGATTTCTCAAATAATTTGTTCTTCTAAATCAAGTGAGTTTACCTAACCATTTTTAATTTTTACAACAGTGCATTTAAAATACACTGGCAATACAATATTCTTTCAACTACATGAAAAGACAAAAATAGACAGACATTTACTGGCAAGAGTTGTAATTCTGTAGAAGTAGCCTGTACATGTCACTTTTTGTGTATTAAATCTGTTGATCAGTTAATTTTATTCATGTTTTTAGTGTGGCTTGACCTGAGAACCCAGTCAACGGTTGAACGTCTTCTTAATAGAATTCCAGGAAAAAACAAAGCCTTTTCTAAGGTAAGAGATATTCCAGAACATTTAGCTGCTACAGTATATGATGTTTTGGATATATATATATATTTAAAATTCTCCAAAACAAAGTAAGTCAGTTGTAGCTTCTAGTCCCTCCTTAGCTTGCCAAGGAATAAAAAAATGTGCATAATACACTGATCTCAGACTAGAAAATGTTTCATTTCCTAAATTAACACTCCTTACACATTTCACTAGAGAAGTTAAATGAGTAATAGTGAGACTCAATCATGTGCTATCCAGCCAATGATAAGTAAACATCACACACAAAAATTAAGCATGTAGAAAAAAACTGTTTGGGAAATAATTTATTGATGTGAAATTAATTATCCATTCTCATCTTATGCCTTAATATTGAAATCAATTGCAGCCAATCTGATAACTGGGAAGATAGTTCACAAAGAGCGAATTCATTTTTATGTATATGAGTATATATATAACAGTTTGGAAAAAATGCTTGCTAAAAGGTGTCACAGTTCTTTGATTAATATTGTCCTTGACTGATTGTATAAAAATTATGCATTTTTTATATTCTACGTTTCTTGTAGGCATGAATTGGATGTCAAAAAACATATAAATTTTCTTCATTTTGAAATTCTAGTAGAATACAAATTTCATCTTTCCCATGTTGTGCTCATTTTTGTTGTTGTGACTTGTTGTCAAGTCATACAGAGATTTCCTAGATAAGACAGGATTTCTGCAAACAACTTTTTCCACGTAAATGATCTTTGAACTGCATTTAGATCAGCTTTGATCTTTGTCCATTAATGCACTGGTTATTTGGTTTTGATGTTGTATGCTTAATTAAATTACAAGTTCGTGTAATTTCTCTTGAGTTTTACATCTTTGCTTTTTCACTTACTGTCACCATTTTTATATATAACTACAGTATTTATGGAAAAGATACTTTCATGGCAATAAAATGATTTTTTTTTAACTTTACAGTTTAAGACTGGCCTTCCACTTAGCACTTATTTTAGTGCAGTGAAACTTCGATGGCTTTTGGATAATGTGGAAGAGATTAAAAAAGCAGTTGATGATGGAAGAGCTATGTTTGGTACTATTGATTCATGGCTTATATGGGTATGTATTTGTGCATTTATTATCACTCTTTGGAAAATTAAGTTCTATGTCACGCAAATTCCCATGCAAAGTATTGTGATACAGTGCTGTGGTAGAGCACAGGGACACACTGGGATCACACAATGATGTTAATACAACCCACTAAGGAAATTCCTATAAAGTTCCTTGCAAGATGAACTTTTACTGTCCCTGTATCACTATATTTTTTTATAGATTCTTGTATGTAGTTTGCCATTATGTAGGTTGCTGTAAAATTTTACACACGCTTTCAGAAGAATCTTGGGCTCTAGGAAGTTGTATTAGGCCTGCCTCTTTAGTTGTTGCAGAAATATCAGAGTTCCCAGTCCCAAGCTAAAACCTTTGTGACTTAGAATTTTTTTCGTAGTTCGTTGAAGGAAACCTATATCTTTCCTTGACAAATACTGTTATTTTTTTGTTCAGAGTTTGACAGGTGGGAAGAATGGAGGAATTCACTGTACAGATGTAACCAATGCCAGTAGAACGATGTTGTTCAACATTCATTCCTTGGAGTGGGATCCTGAGCTCTGCCAGTAAGCTCATTTTTTCAGTAATTCTGTTATTTAGATACTTTCTAACTCATTTAATAGTAAGAATCTCTTATGTAGAGTAAGATCAGCAGTTACTTTTTATTTACTGTTGACATTAGTGACTAAGATTCATTGTTCTCCAGATGTCCAGTTTACTATGGTCTGGATTAACTAAAAGTAGCAGAATCTGTCTGTAGGTGGAGGTCTGGTTCATGTAAACAGTGACATTTAATAGTTCATTACTTAATCAAATTTGTGAGGCAGTTACAATGATAATGTCTCTATTTTAAATATATATTTATTACCAACTGTATTATAAAGATATTGTTAGAAGAGGAATGACTTCCCACATGAAAGAGTTGCATATGTCCTCAAAATATTGAAATATATGCTGGTTTACTCCAAAAATCAATGTAATGTACTGTAACAAGTGGAAAAACACATAACTATGGATTAAACCCTAGAAATCAAAGTTCCTTTTATAGGTTTGGGGTTTTTTTATTTCTTAAGCTTAAACTTATTTAAGAAAAAAATTGTAAGATGTTTTCTGATTTAGCACTGACCATATATATACATTATTTTGTATTGTGTTCAGGTTCTTTGAGATTCCTATGGAAATACTTCCAAAAGTACGAAGCTCCTCTGAGATATATGGCCTGATGGTATGTTTTCTAGTATTTGTATGAAGTTAATCTTGTAAAAATATAACTGTATCAATATGGATTTGACAGAATTTCTATAGATTAAGACTGATGACTTTTTCTAGACCCATATTGTTTGATTTCTGATTAGCATGTTGTTATCTAATGTTGTATAATATTATATGAAGCTGAAAATTTGTTTACTTTGATACAGCACCAACTCTTCTGGTACAGTGGCATCTAATTTATTAGCTTCAAAACTGGATAAACTGTATGTTTGATTTTGCATTCTTTTTCCTGGTAGACTGTGCTATTTTTAATTAAGAACATAGAGACATTTTGTAATTAAGACAAGTTATGAGCTTTTTATTTCAAATATAACTCTAACTTCCCTGAAACGTAAATATTTTTGCTAATGTGTTAATGGAAGTGCCACTAGAAGTTATTGCTGACTTATCTATGTGAAGGTCAGATGGGAGTGAGTTGTATTAAGCTGAATGAGTGAGGTAAATGGAAAAGATACTACCTGACCACTACAACAGAATTGCTCATCACTTTAAATGTGAACTTCTGTTTCTCTTCCCCTTTCCTTCCATTTTTTTTTTCTTTTTCTTCCTTTTGCTGGCTGTAGAAAATCTGTCCTAGCCTGGTGAGTAGAGGCTTCCATTAGGCTGACCACCTATATCTTACCCATTCTGCTCAGATGCTGTGCATTTTCTTTGGTTTAAGGATTAGTAAAAGTGCACTTTCTAGACCAATAAATTTGCCATGTATTTCCAAATCTGAAATATTACAATTAAAGTTCATGCCAAAATTATTTCTAAAATGTGATCTTGATGTATGTGTTTGTCTTAATTTGCAGACTGTTGAATATTTCTTTTTATAGTGAAATAAAAAATACAGCTACTGGTTAATAGATGTTGGCTGTATCATTTTATAAATGAGAAAAGAAGGCCATTCTGTCTAAAAATATTAATTCTATTATAGTTAAATATCAGATTCATGCAGAGTTTTTTAGTGAATTTATAAATGCAGTTGCCATAAATCCATTTAATTAAAATGAGAATTAAAGAAAAAGATATTCAGATTGGAAATACACTTGCATGGCTTTACTGAAAATGCATTTTCATCTTCACACAAAGAAACAATTTAAAGAAAGAAGTTGAAATTGTCAGGAAATAGTTAACTAATTAAATAAAATTCTCAGGATACCCTCACTAAGTTTGCAGATGACATTGAGTTGGGTGGGAGTGTTGATCTGCTGGAGGGTAGGAAGGCTCTGCAGAGGGATCTGGGCAGGCTGAATTGATGGGCCAAGGCCGATTGTGTGAGGTTCATCAAGGTCAAGTGCTGGATCCTGCACTTGGGTCACAACAACCCCAGGCAATGCTACAGGCTAGGGGACAGTGGCTGGAAATCTGCCCAGAGGAAAAGGACTGAGGTGTGCTGGTTGACAGCGACTGAACATGAGCCAGCATGTGCCAGGGTGGATAAGAAGGCCAATGGCATCGTGGCTTGTGCCAGCAATAGTGTGTGCAGCAAGACCAGGGAAATGATCATCCCACTGTATTCAGCACTGGTGAGGCTGCACCTCAAATCCAACGTTCAGTTTTGGACCCCTTGCTGCAAGAAAGACATTTGAGGTGCTGGAGCATGTCCAGAGAAAGGCTCTGGAGCTGGTGAAGGGTCTGAAACACAAGTGCTATGAGTAGCAGCTGAGGGAGCTGGGGGTGTTCAGTCTGGAGAAAAGCAGACTCAGAGGAGACCTTATTGCTCTCTAAAACTACTTGAAAGGAGCTTGTGGTGAGGTGGGGGTCAATCTCTTCTTCCAAGTAAGAAGTGATAAGAGCCTTCACAGCAATGGTTGTCAAGCACTGGAAAAGGCTGCTCAGGGAGGTGGTGGAGTCACCATACCTGGTCTGGAGGTGCTTAAAAGACACGTTGATGTGGCCCTTAGGGACATGCTCTAATGATGGAGTTGTCAGTGCTGTGTTAATGGTTAGACTTGATGATCTTAGAGGTCTTCTCCAATGTAAATGACTTTATGATTCTGTAGCAGAAATGTAACTGAAAAACTCTGTGGTAGTATTTGGAAGAAAGTCTCTATGAGGCTCAAAATGCTGTGTTGTAAAATCAGACACGTCTTCACTTAGAGTGTCACCACAGTCATGTTTTTTTCTAATCACTTTACCATTTTGCACTTTTGCATTTTACACTTGGCATTTACTGCACAGATTACACAGAACTTAATTTTCTATATAGTATGATTTAAAGAGAATTTATGGTAAGAACTTTTGAGGTGACATAAAGTATATCTCTAAAATTCCCTGCTTTCTGTTTCTTAGTGTTTTAGACATGAGCTGCATTAAGCTGAATTTGAGTGTACACCTGAACTGAACCATGTTATTTACATGGCTGTTTTCCTTTGAACATTAGAAGCTTAGCTTCTTTTTCATTGCCTTCAGTTGTAGTCATGGAAAGCTAACTTAGAGCTTTTTTTCTCTTTTTGCAAAACAGAAGTCTGGAGCTTTGACAGGAGTACCAATTTCTGGGGTAAGTCCTACTTCAATCCAGATTCTAGTATGACAGCCTGATACTGCAGGAACAAAGCTTCACAGGAAAAAGCTTTAAGATGAGTGAGTTCTGCTATGAATTAAGTTGGTGGGTTTTACTTCAGGTTAAACATGAAGTAAAATTTGGAAGATGAATTATTGGTTGGCTTGATTCATCATTATTAAGGCCTGACTGTGGAAATACAGCTGATAGCTTTAATGCATGTATGCAGTGCTGTTGGAAACTTAGGTTCTCTAAGTAAAGAAGTAACATTACAAAGTGGAAGCAAGCTCTGCCTCATATGTATAAAAGAAGTTCTGTCTATACATAGTCCAGAAATGCTGGGCAGATTCTCAGCTTTTTCCAATACAACATACGTAAAGATAGTAAATTTTATTTTATTTCTCTAAATTGTTCACCATAAGTAGCACAACACATTTCATTTTTAGTTCTTACAAAAGGAAGAGTAATAAAAAGCATAACTTGTCTCTATAGGTTTTTCCTCACTTTCAGTTGCCTGTGTGGTACAAATAGATTCAAGTTACAGTGAAATATATCTGTTCACAGTCCTTTTTCATGCACATAATTCATGTGCTGGCATTTGCTAAAGAAAATGTCTCCCACTTTCAGTGCTTGGGTGACCAGTCTGCTGCGCTCGTTGGGCAAATGTGTTTTCAAGATGGGCAAGCAAAAAATACGTAAGTTATTATTAAAGTTGTAAGACAAACACTGCTCTGTTTTGAATTTAGTATTATGTTATTTTTCAAGCTTGCTGCCAAATGCTTTTGTAGTTAGCAGATCTACTTTTTGACTGTACTGACCTACAAAGTAAACCATGTCCTGACTTTATTATATAAAGTAGTGAAGGGGTTGAAGTTACATGGCTTGTGAGGTATATTTTGGAACACAGCCACTCTGAAAAAAAATCTCTGTGTGACAGGAGGTTTTTCATTTTAAAATTTTCCAAAAGAGAGATTAAAACAGTTGCAGGTATCATTTAAATTATGACCTAAAATTAAATGAATAGAGGCCTGTGAGTTAAATTGCATAGACTTGAATGGCACAGCACTGCTGGATGGAAGAGGTTCATTTCAGTTGCAGTACTTAGTTTTACTTCTCTGTCCAGCTCAGCATGGAGAATATTGCATTTGTTTTTTCCTATTTCTCAGCCTCTTCATGTCCCCTGTTTAAAATAACTGATCAGTTAAATTGGGCAACTGGTGTAATCATATACTCATTTGAGAAAAAGCTCTCTGCTTAAATGACTTACTGTTCCATTTACAACCACGTGCTTTATGGAGCATGTAGGTACATGCACAGTATGGGGCTTTCACAGGTATAATTACACATTCATCTATATTTGTGGCTAATTGACTTCCACTTTTTATTTTATATTTATGCACAAATTGAATGTTTAGTGACCTTGTGTTTTAGTAAAACAAATATGGTTCTAAGTAATGTTATCACAAAGTATTTTTACAATAAATGCTTTTATAACACAAGAGACCTTTCAAAAAAAAAGTGAACAGCACTAAACTAAAAGGTAAAAGTAAGATTTTTTTAGCTTATTTCTGTTATTGCTTTACTCTTTTTCTCTCTAAGTATAACTGAAGACTGTTTTAAGGTATTGATTTTTGGAGGTTTAGAAAGGTAGGGAACTCATAATTTCTCAGAAAAAATTAGAGTGGATTGTAGGATTTTGTACTCCTTTTATTAAACTGTGTCTGTATGCACGTGTACACGTACACATATACATGATGTGGTCTTCAAATGAGAAACACAACATTTTTAAAAGTTTTTGAATAGAATATATTTAAAGAAAACCCTCTTCTTTATGACAAGGGCAAAGTTTCTTAAAATTTCCCCTTTAATATTGTGAAATATTTATTTTATAAAGTAGCTTTCATAATCATCTTAAATTGAAGTAGGTAAACACTGCCACCAAAGAGGAATTCACACTTAGTTTTCAGCCACATCCGCTACTTGATAAAGTGTTGTACAAAAAATAGCCAGAGAGAGAGGAATGTGACTAGATTTTTCAGCTTCAGGCTGCATTTAAATCAACCTTTTTGAGGATGGTTTTATCATCAGTTAATGGTAAAATAACCTTCAAGGGTCAAAATGTAGTGTCTTGATTCTCCACAAGGGACTCGTGAATTGATGAGTTGCAGTAACAGGTTGTCCTTTAAACATTTTGGTCTAATTTTGCTTTGCTTTCATGCCAGGTACGGAACAGGCTGTTTCTTGCTGTGCAATACAGGTCAGAAGGTCAGTTGCATTTTTTTGTTGTTCCCTTTTATTTTTTTTACAATCTTTATTTAAGTTCTCGAATACAGCTGTATGTTAGCCTTTCTTAGACTTACTAACTACAATCATGTTGCCAGACATAAGGAAAAGCACAGACTAAAATCTGAAAGAATAGAAAATAATAGTTTGTTGAAGGTATTTCAGTAAGACTCCGTTTCCTAGCTCATTAAGTGTCCAAACAGAACTTTTCATAGCAAGTTTCTTACTCTTTCCCTGTACAAGTTTCTTAACGTCACACAGAGAGGCTGAAGTGTTGTGTTACTTAACCACAGGCCTTCTTCATTCTCTTGGCTATTTTATTTCTTCTCTTTTCTCTCATTATTTCTTTGCAGTTGGAGTTCAATAAATAACTCAAAGCTTTGGCTTCCTTCTCGTTTCCATCTCCTTCTAAAGATCCCCAATTCTTTGCTCTAAGGAGGCTGGAAAGATCTGTGGCAGCTTGTGGAAATGAGAATTAGCACCAGCAATCTGAGGGTTCTATGACAGGTGTTTATTTAGAGTGACTGATAATGTACTTTGTTTAAAATTTCCGTATTTCATTTGAAGGTTTGGTTTCTTGTTTATTATAATTTGAATGTTTTAATTTAAATATTTCCTACCTCTGTTCATGCTTTACCTTTTCTTTCCCATTTCCTCATTTAGTCTGTGTTTTCTGAGCATGGTCTTATAACCACAATAGCTTACAAACTGGGCAGAGACAAACCTGTTTGTTATGCACTAGAGGTAAGTTCAGCAGTTTCTTCCTTTTTTTAGTGATACATGTTCTTGTTTACTTCTGTTATCTGGTATTTTTTATGTCATCTTGAGCTGCATGGAAATGTTTTAGCTTGTGTGCCTCAAGGCTCATGTGTGGTTTTGGTTATCCCTATCTCCAATCTATATCATGTAATCTAATAAAATATTTCTTCTTTGCATCATTTATATTTTCAGAGCAAGATGGTGAAAACTTTTCTTTTGTTATTCATTCTCTCAAATCCTTAATGAATATTATAAATAAATAAAACAGAAAGATTTCTGTAGTAAATTTGGTTTAAGAAAAAAGGAGGGGAAGTACTAGTGTTTCAGTTATCCTCTCATAATAAAAGTCATAACTAAATGGGTTTTTTTTCATTGTAATGGATTTTACTTCTACCTTTAAAAATCTGAACCAAATTTCTGGGATGAAAATCCTCTAACAATTTAGCTTTTTTTTACCTACTTAGATTTAGATGCCTACTTACAGAATTTAGTTCCTTGGTTCTCCACACAAGTCTGAGGGCATCCAAATTCTGTAGAAAACTGTATTTTTACTTCAGGGTTCATTGTTCTAAAGCTCTGCTTCTGAAGCACAGATCAGCTGAGCACCTATTTGGCACTAAAGCTTTATTGGGAACAGCAAAATAATTACTCTTCCGCCTGTGCTGCTTAAGTGGACTAACTATTATAATCTAATAGTTATTCTCGGAACAGATATACTGAATTCTCTGCTGATGTTGAGCTTCTGCAGACACTCTATGTTTTCCATGAGAAACAAAGACAACACACAGAATTTTTTTCACTGGGAGAATAGTTTGTGGCTTATAGTACTTTACGAGGATGTAGGAGGCTGTGTTCATTTCCTTCCCTAAGGAAAGTGAATCTTGCATTTGCCATGTTCTGTCAAGCTTTGGGATTTTTATTTTGTGTGGGTGTGTGAGAGGTTTGTTTTATTTTTAAGCCATGTTCTTGAATCAAGAACTGGAACTGTCTTGAGAGTGATTTTTATTTCTGCATGCTGAAACACGTGCATGTGTGCTTTGCTTTGCCTCCACGTCTTTATTGATATTGTCTGAAAACATGGCTTCAACAGAAGATGTTAAGTGTCTTTTATCCTATATCCGTACTAGAATCATCCACAGTCTGCTGCTTAAGACACTTCCCAGAAAGGCAAAAAATATAGATTCAGCCTCTTCTTTTAAATCGGAGTGGTATCTTGTAACAGTAATAACCAGCTGCTTAGAAAACACCCCTGCCCCTTCCAGCAATGGATTTGAATGAAAATACAATGCTGCTCCTGTTTTACTTGAAGCTTGGTCTAGTAAACTTGAGATTCTCTTGTGGAGAAGTCCATTTGCACTTTGGAGTGAGATGAGAGCCATGTCATTTATCTGCGGTATGATGGAGCCATGAAGGGCCAAATTCAAAAATTCAGAGCAATTTTGCTGGCAAATGCACCAGTGCCTAAATTTTCTGTCTTTCTGGGCATTTGTGTTTAGACTGGATGTAATCAGTCTTGTTTCTTTAAATCAAAGCATAAAAATCTTAATTTGTCAGAAAAAGAGGTCTGAGGCTACTGGACCTCATAACTGTATATTCAAGAGAAGACATAAATTAGAAAGACAAGCAGACTGCTTAGGAAATGTCACTGTAACTTCCCCTCATGGAAAAAAAGCACACAATATGTACCTTTTCTGCATGGAGCCTGTGTAAGAGGCTGCCCTTTTTACACTGCAGTCTCCAGATGCCGAGAAACTTGTGGTGTAGTTGTGAGCATTCTTGGGAGTGCTTCAAGCTGTGACTGTAAACCTGCAGTTGGAGGCCGCAGCTACCCCTCCTCTCCAGTCATTTAAAAAGGAACACAAAGCTACCAGCTGTTGTCTCCTAATGTGGTGATTTTGTTTCCTTCAGGGATCTGTTGCAATAGCTGGTGCTGTTGTCCGTTGGCTGAGGGACAATCTGGGTATCGCTAAGTCTTCACTGGAAGTTGGTGAGTATTCACAATTTGGAACTGTTCAGGTTTTAAAGTTTTCCAGTGTCATAATGTCTCTATTGGTGAATGAAAACTCAAAATATTAAAGAAAAGATGGAAGGTGCATGTATTTCGCTATGTTTAAGTAATGTGCTTTGCAACCATGAACTCACTGTTATTGATACATGCATTTCATAGAGCCTCTCAATACAGTCTTGGAAACTTTGTTCTTTTTCAATCTGTACTTTTTACTAGTTTCTCTAGCAAACAGATATTCAGTTGGATACTATATATACAATGTATCTCCTGCTTTCGTGTGGTGTTGAATTTTCCAGAGTCAAGAGTATTTAAGTCTGTATTACAGACTCCAGCCCATATTTGATCCTAAACCTACATATTCTTGTCCTAAATATGAGAACCTGAGGCCCTACATGTACAATAATTTATGTAGAAGGCTTCATATCCATTGAGTTAACGACCTCAGTTTGCAAAGTTGCCTCTTAAAAAGGAGTTGTGAAGGAGAGTAATCTGTTTTGGCTAAGAATACAGTAATCCTTTAGCAGTTGTGCAGCTGATGTTTTCTGGTTGAGCTGAACTGAAACAAACTGGTGTGTGACATTATAGAAACTAGGAGTATATCAAATTTTGGAAAAGGAAAAAATATCAGAAGCATGCAAGGGCATACATTTGAAAGTGACTAATTTAATAAGACTTAGGACTAAAAAGAGATTCCTTACATATTTTTAATAATTTGATATCTTATTGAAAGATGGAAAAATCTAGAATTAAAATTTTATATAAAACTTCAAAGGTTAAGCAAAAACTTAAAACATCATTCTGTTTTTATGAAAGAAAACTTTGCAAATCATACAGCAGAATATAAACTACTGTCACATGAATTAGTTGTTGAGACACTGCAGTACCTCTTCACAGGTTTGACTAGACCTTTGGAAGGTTTCAGTTTCAAGAACTTTAACCTTTTCAGTGTTGGTAAAGTCATGTAGGGCTTCATCATCTCTTTGTGTTTCCCTAAACATGTCCTTCCTTCTCCCTTCACTCCTTTTTTAAGTGGAGTCTGTATAAAAGTATCATTTTAGAAAGACTTTTTTAAATTTTCCTGCTATTTTTGTCTGGTGCTATGCTCCTCTGATCAATGCAAACAAAAAATTTACAAAAGCAGAAAAAAAATGCTTTCCTTTCTTGTTCTAGGAATGAGCTGCACATTAGTATTATTTCCTTTGCAGTTCTAGATATCTTAATATAATTTTTTTAATTACAAATATTTTAGTATTGAGTTCATATATCCACAGTTATTACTCAGATATTAAGAAACTTTGGAATTCCTTGTAGGTGGCCTTGTGATTTATATACGTAAGCTGAGAATTTGGAACTCTAAATTCATTTGAAGTTAATGGGAATTTAGTTCTTAACTCCCTTTGGTCTTGATCCAGTTTCACTTGCTTGTCTTGACTCAAATGTAAGAAAAGTGTGACCTTTTGGAGTGCTTTGAAGATTACATTCTTTACCCACAGGATAACCTTTGAAAACCTCACAGAATCTAGGTCAGAATATTGAGCACATAATTTTGGGGTTTGGTTTTGATTTTACATTTTACATTTCCCACAACTCCCTATGCTCCATATTCCATTCATACTGTTGTAAACAGAAAATTAGTTAACAAGGAGCAGAGTGCCAGCACTAGTTGTATTTTTTAATTGTATACATGGCTTGATTATTTTTGTAGCTACCTAATATATTCTGAATATTTTTCCAATTTAAATAGTAACACTTTTAAGTGATGTATCTAAGTGTTGGTACAGTTGTGAAAAGCTAACTGAAGCCTGTTTGTGTGTGTGTGCATTAGAAAAACTGGCTGCAGAAGTGGGGACTTCTTATGGCGTCTACTTTGTGCCGGCATTTTCAGGACTGTATGCACCATACTGGGAACCCAGTGCAAGGGGGTAAGGATCTGACTGAACGCTGCATTTGCAGAGGATTTTAATCATTTTACAAATCTACCATGCTTGTCCTTCCAGGCGTGGGAAATCGTTCTTTTTGTTCCTTTGATATGTCCAGATACATCATTCTCTGTGGTATCTTCAAGAAACTACTGAGTTTCTGTTTTGTATTTATCCTGTTCAAAGCAGCAATTGCTACTGGGAGAAAAAGAAGGATTAGCCAGCTCAGCTACTCATCCTCCTCTCCCCTTCTTGCCCCTCTCTGAAAAAAAAAAAAAAAGGAGGGGGAAAGGAGGGCAGGGAAAACAATTTCTGGTTCTGAAAGGGTTTTCATCTCACTAAAATTAGAAGAGAAGATCTGCATTCTTGTGAGCTGTCAGGCAACAAAAGTAGGAAAGGAAGAATTTAGTGCTGATCAGTGGTTTGAATTCAGTTTCAGGCCACTTAAATCCTTCTGACTTTTTCTGTTTCCCCTTATATCCAGCTTTCTTTCCAGTCTATTGAAAACTCTTTTCTACTCCTTTTTTCCAGCCCCTTTCTGGATAGTTCAGACGTAACTAGCTGTAGCAGTAGCCTTTCATTTGTCTTTTCTGCTGTTGTAAGCTTGCCTACTGTTCCTGGAATCACACGTGCCATGGGAATCACAGAAGCATATAAATTTGTATATAAAATAAGTTCCCTAAAGTGAGAAAAGAAGTCCTAAAGGATATCTAGTTCCCAAGGTTTCAAGTAGTTTTATCTTTAGAATTTATATGCTTCTTGTACGTAAGTAAAAAGAAGAATCTTTGAGATAGATGTTTTTACCATTTTTCAGATCACAGTGCTTAACTTTTTATCTGTTAAAAGCTGATCTTCAGAATGGTAACAACTAAAAATACCCTTTAATATCTTTGAACTTGCATGTATCCATGTATACCAAATACAGCAGCTTTTCTGTGTAGTGTGCTGCTGTTCCTTGAATGCTGAAATAGGATAAAAGGATGGTTATTTGCTCTGCTGCAGTTCAGAGTACATTGACAGAATTCAGCTTACTCATGGGTAGATTTAGCAGAATTTCCATATCCAAAAACCTCTTTGAAGGTTCAGAAACAATGAATGGCCAGAAAGATCTGAAAACAATTTCAAGCATTTAGAGCACAGAACTGACCCAAACTATGCTTTTCCATAAGAATTGAAAGCTATAGAGAATTTATTAAGATTATAGTGATAATTAATATTATTTTTTAAAGATAAATCAGTCTCAATTAAACTTTTTTTTAAGGCAGACTAGAATTTGTGGGGGTATTTGTGTGTGTGTATGGGTGAGTATACATCCATCTGTATGCAGATTGGCAAAACCAAATTAATTTATGGCACCTTAATTGATTGGAGCCTGAAAGTATCTTTGTAAGGAAAATGAGAGAGTTTACATTTAAGAAAAACAAGCTTTTTAATATTAAAAAAGAGCTTTGACTTAGAAGACCTGGGTCTGAAATAACAGTGTATGTCTGCTAAGAAGTTTGTCCTAACTTTGGGGTTTTTTCTCTCTCAACAGTATTATCTGTGGCCTTACTCAGTTTACAAATAAAAAACACATCGCCTTTGCTGCACTAGAAGCTGTCTGCTTTCAAACACGAGAGGTAAAGGAAAATTGGGTCCTAAATTCATTGTAAATTAGTATGATAACAGGAACTGTAGCTCTTCAAGAAAAGAAGAGATTTAAAAGATGTAATGAAGTTTAATCATATGCTTTATATTGTACCTCAATGCTTTTCTTGTCTTTGCTTATTGCTAATGTTGAAAAATTGTTCCTGTGGATTTATATAAGATTGACTGGTACATTATTTTGGAGTGGCAATGCTGCCTTTTATCAGCACTTAAAATATGGTAAATATATTTTGTGAATATTTTCAGAGGCAGAACATAGAAATATTAAAATGACAAGGCGAACGCCATAACTACAAAGTTTCATTGGTGTAGGAGACTGCATTTTACATTGTCTGCTGTGACAGAGGTGGCTTATATTGCTTGTGGTACACAAGAACAAAAATAAGTTAAAGTGAGACAACAGCAAACATACCAAGGGAAATCTGGGTTAACTTCCTGCCCATTACATCCTTCACTGCCTTAGCTGGAATTCTGCAACAGCAAACCAAAATTCTCACAGAGGAAATGAATCCCCCAACCAAATCAAAGGGATTGATAGTGTGGGCATTTGAATCTTTATGTCACCATCTACTCCTCCCTGTTTGCATGCAGGGTAAAGTTACAGGGAACTAAACTGACAGTCTGGTTTGTTGTCTGCTTCTCTTTCCTTGTCTGTTCTCCCATCCATTCCCTCTCATGTGACAGCTCAATGAACTTTCCAGCAGAAAATTATCCCTCTTTTTGCTGGGCTATTTTTCCACTGGATTAATGACCTCAACTGCCTTGCAGAGGAGTGCAGCAAATGTCAGAATGTGAGACAGGGCATGTGGCTGAGAGTAGGAGAGAGGAGAATAAAGCTCTTACACTGATTGAGAGTGAAGTTTACTGTTTGAGCAGATCTAATACTCCCCCATATTTTAGCCAATGTGCTTTTATCACAGTGACAGGAGTGCCTAATCAGGTCTCTGGACACACTTAAATGAACAGATTAAGTCCTATTGGCACAGATAAAATATGTGTACATTTTTCAAAGATACATCGTTAGTTCTGTCTTGTCAAAAACAAAGTTCTTTTAATTCCAGTTAAAATGGAAGTCTTCAGGAAATCCCTCAAATTTCACATCCATTGGAGTTCTTGCCTGTTTTATTGTGACATTCTGAGTACTTTATAATTCAAAAAACACCTTCCTTATGCAGATAGATGACACGTGTTGTGTTTTTTCTTCCTGAAGGCATTATAGAAAAATAAGCAATTTTTCAGTTCTAAGAGGTGTACAGTGCTGTCATTAAACAAAAATTGCATATTTGGATACCTTGCTTTTCATCCAACCTCCATACAATAGAGATAGCAGCAGCCTGGTTACAATTTGTTTTATTCCTTTATCTTCCTTGTTTACAGCATTATTTTAATCTGTATTTAATTTTTATCTCTACTGAGTGCATGATGATCCAACATGCTCTTTCACAGTGACAAACAAAACCAGAGCCTCCAACAGCGCTGAAGTTCTGAATGGTAAAATAGGCAGATAATATGGAGTTAAGCAAATGTAAAATGATATATATGAAGGAAATACATGGTGGAGAGCAGTGCTAGTGTAGCACTGCCAGCAAGCTTTGCTGCTGTGCTATGAGGTCTGTTTTCCTGGTTATTTCTAGTGCAGGCCCACGGACAGATGCTGCCACCGTGAAAACTGGCCTTACTCTTACCTTGTTATTTTTAACCTTTATTTATCCTGTGGCAGTTTCTTTAGTTCCTTTAAAGATTTTGTGGTAAGGGACCTTGCTTATTTACTTTCTGGGAATGGGGAGAATCTACTGGACAGTTTGTCTCTATGTAGTTTTTTCCTACCTTGCAAGCCTACTTTTTTTTTTTTCTTTTTTAAATAGGATGTTGACTTTTCCCAGTAAGGATTGTATAACTGGGTACTTTGTGAGCTACAGAACAGGGCAGAATGTGTTGTAGTTTTGGTCTTTTTTGTGATCTGTGTTGCTTTGTCATTTAAAGCTGAGAAAAACACATCTCCTTTTTATTCAAATAAATTGAAAAATTACGGAGAGAAAATCATTCTGCACTTGTTAATCCCTAACTTGTAAACAGAAATTATGCACTAACCTTACGAAGTGCATATGAGACATTTAACTGACTGTTTTTACAAAACCCTAGAAAACCCACTATTCTGTATTTAATGGTGCTTGTAGGGTAATGCTGTGTGGTTACCAGTAGCTAAGGTTTGAGGCAAACCTTATGTTTTTAGGAAATCCTCTAAAGAGCATATTGATAAGTATCAGTGAATTAAATACTCCACTCATAGTTAATTAGCCTTTTTTCAGCTATCTGCTGTGCTCAAAAGAATGAAACATAGTTTTATAAAAAATTACACTAACAGTTTATTTTTGCTGTCTATTTGGTTTAATGTGAAATTCTCAGTTTTCAACAACTAACTCAAAATATTTGAAAAGGCTGCTCTTTCAAAAGAGTTCAACATTCCTCAGTTCCTACTGAAATGTCTTGTAGGTTGCCAGGTCAATGTTTTAATCTCTCAATTATTTAATGCATCAAATTAGAGGAAGTATCTAAACAACCTAGATCAGCTAAAGGACTCCATTTATTATTGCTTCTTCCTTTGTTATCTTTAAAAAATGTTGTAGTTGTCATCAGCTTTTCTTCAAAATTCTTCTTCTCAGGCCACATGAGCAGCACATAGGCTACATATAGAGCATCAGAGGAGAAAGATTCCTACACTAGGATTTCTGTAGTGAATAGATGCATGTGCTGTATAATAAACAAAACTCTATTGTCACTGCTTCTGTTTTACTCTTTCAATATATAGGAGAGGAGAATGATCTACTTAATGCTCTTCAGCAAATGCTGAAGCATCAGTATTTAACACTCTGAGAGTATCATGTATTTCTCTGCAATTAAGTTGTAATGTATATTACTCTTACTTAAGATTTTAGATGCCATGAACAAGGACTGTGGGATACCACTAAGTCAGTTACAAGTAGACGGAGGAATGACCAATAACAAAATCCTCATGCAACTCCAAGCAGACATTCTTTGTATTCCAGTAGGTAAGATGAAATTGCAGCTCCTATTTTCTTTTTAAAGCTGCTGAGAGCAGATTGGATGTCTTGTTCAGTTGGTTTTAGATGGATACATAAATCTTTAGTTCTAATGTCATCAAAGTGACTTTCATTACAAATTATCATGATCCTCTCTGTGATTTATTTCAGTAAAGCCATCAATGCCTGAAACTACAGCTTTAGGAGCTGCTATGGCAGCAGGAGCTGCAGAAGGAGTTGGAGTTTGGAGCCTGAATCCTGGAGATTGGACGGCAGTGACATCTGAACGATTTGAACCACAGCTCAATCCAGAGGGTAAAACCCTTTTATGTTATCTGAATTGCAAACTTATCTTTTGACCAACAAGTCAGGTTTTTTCTTTATTGCAGTCTGACATACTGATATAAAATGAATATTCTATGAATATCCTCAAAAATGTTGAAGATCAAGTTGGTGGTGTTTGGCTTAGAGAAAAGTGCATTTCCATTGCTCTTTTCTGCCCACATTGACCAGTAAGATTGGAGGATTGTTAAAACAATGTAGCTCCATCGAGGAATATGTTGGGGGTTTTTTCTGTCTTCTCTGTCAAAGCAGCTTGGCACTGGGCATTGCAGTCAGTAGCTTTGGATTCATAGCGGGTAAAATCAAAGAAATCTTGAAAATTTTTGATGTGAAAGATGTCTTCTAAGCTCCTGTGCATTTATGAGTTTTCACAGATGTAGAAAGGACAGACTGACTGTTTTGGGAAGATTCCTTTTTTTGGCTTTAAAAAGCTTACATTAATTAATGGGTTTTAACTAACTATCTTTTTCATCAGTTCCTAAGTGCTTGTAGAGATGGAAAGTACCTACTTGACATAATTAATCCCTGTGCAAGACAAATGCTTTTTTGTCTTTTCAGTTTCTTGATTTTTGGTACATAATTTTGTCTTACAATTTGATTATAATTACTTCTACAATCCCTACTTCAAGACAGCATTTTCAGCATTGAAGGGTTTCTACACGAATATCAATTGCTTCATTTTGTCCTGCTTGTAAATCTTCTTAATGGTGAACATGCAGAAATTTGATTTTATTTCTTCTTACTGTGCATAACTATGGAGTTTGGGGTGGAGGTTTTTTAATTCAAAAAAGGATTTTATAATGTTTTTTCTGCAAACAAGCGATACTGTGCTAAAGAGTGGAAAACTAATATTGTAGTGTTTGGTTCTTAAATACTTGTGGTTGTATTCCTATGCATTGAGAGGCTTTTCTGTTTGCCGGTTTCTTAATTTCAGAAAGTGAATTTCGGTACGCCAGATGGAAGAAAGCTGTGCTGAAATCTATGGGCTGGGAGACATCTGAAGCTTCTTCAAATGGTAAACCAAAAATTAATGCAGGTCAAGTATTATTAATTAGCCAGTTAGCCTTTTTTGTGCATGCCATCTCTGGACTATTACAATGATTTAAAGATCATTACTTAAAACCACTGTGGAAACAAAGCAGGAAAATACGTAGTTCTTCCTCTTGAAAGGAGGGCACAAGTAATATCTTATATATAGGGCTCTAAAAACAGAAAATATAAAATCAAAACTAACTGCAGGTTTTGCAGAGTGGCATTGGCTTACAAAAGAAAGAAAAATCTTGCCTAGAAGAGATAGAGCACGATTCTAAGACATTGCAGGGATTTTGTAAACTTTCTTATACTATAACCTCATGTTTCAAAGGACAGAAGTTCCATCCTGTGATTTTTCTTGCCATATCTTGCCTTTGTCATTTGCTGTATATTATAGAGGGATTGATATCCACATCAAAATGTATTTGACTCATAAGGGTTAAGAGCAAGAAGTTATCATAAAGTGAAGAATTACATAGACCTATTGTTCACACGCAGAGAATATAAAAACACTCTTGAGGGACTGAACAAGATCTTTCTTTTGAAGTACAGAGCTTTCTCATCTGTCAGGTTTGAATTAAATTAAAGCTGCAGTCTTCTATGATCTATAATTTGAATTTATATTTGAACACTATTTCAGCATAAGTTTGCAGTCCTTAATCATCCTATAACACATCATTTGTGGGCTTTATCTCTATTTCATTTCCCTTTTGTTGGAAAAACTGTTAGAATGAAAAGTATTAAGTAAAGACTCCTCAAAATATAAACTCCCCCCACAATCCAAAATCTACAGTTGGAGCCCCAAAGCTTCATGAAGTCTCTTTATTCTTGAAAGCTAAAATTTTCCTTTTACCATCCTATATGTTGATTTAAGTATTTTATTTAACACCATGTTTTACAAACAAGTTTGCCAAGGCTACTGGGAAGGGAAACAAGTAATTTAGCATGAACAACAGGTAATTTAGCATGAGCAACATGAATCACTTCAGAATCATATTCAGTCCATTATGATATGGACTCTGATGCTTCTCCTACTTATATATCTTTATTTCCTTTTGAAGAATAAAAATTCTGCCTTTGAGAAAGTAAAACTAGATCTTTCCCTTCAGTTCATGTGAAAAGAGCTATATTTATCAAAACTTATCTCAGTGATTGTCTGGTTTAACACCTGGGGGGAAAATGTTATTTTCCTTACTTCTTGCTTTGAAACTTTGTCTTCTGCTTGCTAGGGATAGTTAAGATTGAAGAATATTAGAAATGGGCTCAACCTAGATAGTGCTGACAGTAGAATTTAGATTTGAATTCTTACATTGAGAGTCTGTTTTGAATTATTGTGGGGTTTGTGCATAATTTTTTTAGTTTTTCTGTGAATGTCACTACATTTGTTATCTTTTGCTGTTCATATGATCTTTAACACATATATTGCAATTTATATATATTTCTCTTTTGATTTGCTTGACTGGAAACACCCTCCCCTGGATGACATCAGGTGACACTAGTATCTTCTCTAGTCTGCCTTTGGGTCTTTTTATTATGAGTAGCATGGTAATGTTAATCGGAGCAAAGTACGTCTCAGGTTAGTTATTATTTGATCTAGATCCCTTTAAAACTTATCTGCACTAGTTTAAGTGTTGGGCTGGGGATTTTTTTGTATTCCATCTGTTTGTTTCCAGCAAAAATCACTGATGCTTTTTGTTGTTCATGCACACGAATGTTTGAGGGTGTGAATCAGACATAATGCACTGAAGGGAGCCAAGTAAAGGCCATCTCAAATTCATCCTCATGTGCCATGAAATTTGTAGTCATTAGATACACATGAAACCTTGAACTCTCCCCTCCCTTTGTATCTATGCAGATTGTGCAGTTTATAAAAGGGATATAGGTTTGGGCAGCCTAGCAGAGTTTTGCATTGCCTGCATTACAGTGTGCATTGCAGTTAGAATAAGGTTCCATCCTTTATCCTGTATTTCTTCTTGTAATATCTCTAATTATTCTGAGGATCTTGTTTACATGAAGACTTTTTCTTCTGTGCCCAAAAGGCTTCATGCACCTCTTTGGTTTTTTTGGTCCTCTTGGAACTATTGTATTGTTAGAAATCTTCATCTACTAAATCTATAGAATATTCTTTTTGTACTTTGCTCTTGATGTATAAGTGAATTAATCTTGTCTAGAAGAGAAGAGACCCTAAAAGGCTTATCTGCAGAACTGGGGAAGGGACTGTGTGCATATGCAATGAAGATGCATCTTCAACTTACTAATATATGATTTATTTTAAAAGAAAATTCTTAATATGAATGACATTGTTTTTTGCTTATGCCAGAAGTAACACATCTCATTAAAATATTCTTAGGGTAAGAAAAAGAAGTTCATATGGTGCTGTCATTTCTTCTTTGTTGTTTCAGAATTTCATTCCAAAGAAAGTATTTTACAGTATAGGCATTGTTGCTGCTTAGTAAGCCATTTGGGGGTGGTTGTTTGGTTTTCTTTCTTTGTTTTGGTTTTGGTGGGATAGGCAGGGGGTGTTAATTAAACAGACAATTGAGGACTCTAGCATGCTCCTATGATGATGTGTTTCTGTTTTGTTTCTACTCGTTCAGCCTGAATTAACTATTCAATTGTTATTTTCCTTGCATGAAATGGACTGTCAGAGCTTGTAGGAGAACTAAAATCAAACTAAACAAATGCTAGGCAAAAATCAAACTGAACAAATGGATTCACATTAATTTTCTAACTCTGGAATGTATCTGTGAATGAGAAAAATCTACAAATCTTGATTATGAAGAATAAAACAAAACCAACTGTGAATAAGTGGGTAAATTTTTAACAAGCACAACAAAGCAACTTGAATATAAATTCCAGGTCAAATTCTTCACCACATGGAGCATACCTAAAATAATATGAAAATCAATGATAAACGGGGAGATAAGCAACTTAAATTTTGGGTTTATTGCTTTTGAAAAACAACTAATCACTAATCTGCATATAAATATCTAAACTTGCATTGCTGGAACTCATAAGAAAAGATTTCTTTTTCTCCCTTCCTTAAGCTTGTCAGTGCCCTTCTGACCCACAAGTAGGAAACATCCCAGCTCACTGTGGCCTTAAGAAACCATTTTGTCCTTGTTTTCAGATAACGGTGACTATCAATATGGTTACTCTTACTATGTATGTATATACAACAACATAATTACTTTATATCATAACATATTGGTTTACTATTTACATGGTAAGCTTTGGGATGGGAGAAGTTGTGAAAAATTTCCTGCTCATATTTGTTTTTAAAAATGATGATGTCTCAAAAGAAATAGCGACCGCGATGATATGTACAGGTTGTAGTTTTGCCCAGCTGTGTTCTAGGGTAGAATATGATATATAGAATTTGTGTTACTGATTGGAGAAGGGCTGCTTCCCCCTTAGACAATTTGGTAAATATTGTTTTGCTTTTAAAAGACTGAACTTGCTGAGCAGACTTTCCTCCTAATTCAGTACAGAAACTCCATTTAATTAATTTGTTACATTCTATCTTTTAATGAAACACTGAAACTCCAACACATTCATCAGTGTAGTAGGTTTGAGGATTGAATTTAGTGAGGACTGAACTCATCCTTCATGTGCTGAAACAGCAGTAAGTCTTGCATGGCAACAGTCCTGTTGCTGAATGTGTCTCTCTAGGACAGGCCATGATTTTACAGCTGCTGAAACACGAAGGAAAAATCTGCTGCGCCAGAATAGAGAACACTAACGTGGCAAAACTCCATTTACAGAACTGCTAAGCTGCCTTTTCATGTGGCATCCGATGACTGAATTTGAAGAGCAATACTGTATTCTATTATATCATTTCATAATTCCATCAAAGTCCAGTCAATTACTTGTACCTTATTTTACGATCTTCATTCTTCTCTCCCGGGGAGAAAGGGTCATTAGTTTGTTTTCTTTTACTATTGAAGCAAGCTGTGTATAGCAACTGGAATCCTTATGCTAAGGTTCTGTTAAGTTTTTCACGCTAGTTTTGGAAGTGGACACCTGAGAGATTTCAATATATTTTATAGCTGTACATTTTTTTTGGTGGGATAAGGGTAGAGTTAACTATAAGGATCCTATATTTTATTAGACTCAAGTTTAAATAAATGCCTTTTCGTACTTAAATTGGCTTCTCTCAAGTGTGTTATAGTGGGGTTTGGTTATATATGGGATCTTATGTGACATCTGGGGTATAAAGTCCTTTGACTTTATTTTCACAGAACGAAATGTCAGTGCTGATAGTAAGACTGTATTTTTCCTGCTTAAGTACCCTGTGGGGGTATTTTTAATATTCTGTTTGTCCTTTTTAACTTCTTGTGTTGTGATAGTTACTGCCAAGTTGCATACTGATTTACATATAGGGATAACTATGCAGTTCTGCAAGATAGTTGCAATAATATTTCCCAAATTTCTGGAAGCTGAGCTCTTATTCAGAAGAAAATATGCTTAGATTGCCTTTCTTCGATTCTTCTATTTGTTAAAAATTTACCCATCTTAATCGTGTGGTCTCTGCTCTCCTGCTGTGTTCACATCCCACGCACTTAAGCACTGGCTTATCTGGTGTCACAAGACACATCTAATTTATAATTGCAGTAATTGAAAACAAGTTGGTTTTACTGAATTCCTCTTACAGCTCAGCTGTGTTATAAAGTATTGTTAACATTTTAGAGTAAATTCTATGTTCCTAATGCATGCTTTTTCTTTTTTAAGATAAATGAGACTACTTAGTGGACGTGATGGATGCAGCTGATTTTTTTGTCGCGGTTTGTTTTGTTGTCGGAAGAGATTCTACCATCAACATGATTATGCTACTTGTGTGGTTCAATATATTCATGAATCCACCTGTCACCAGTCTCTGAGTAACCTTCCAGTGGTGCACTGAAAATTCAGTCTTCAGCCCTTCATTACTCTGTTCCCTTCCCCATCAACTCCAACTGCACTGGAGGCCTTTGCGTGGAGTATCACACGTCATCCTCTAAAATTTCACAAGCTCAAGGTTTGTTTGAGAAAGTGGTATAACAAAAACCTACAAACTGTGAGATAGTGATGGCAGATGTTTAGCTGCCCTTTTGAGGGGTTTGGTACTTTATGCAACACACTGCAGAAAGTTAATGATGCACTATAGAACTTTGTAAACATCTTACAATTCTTCCTGCTGCTCTGAATTTTCATAGGTCTGTGGTTGCCAGAGATGTTTTGTTGTGGTGGCCACTGGTCTGAAACACCTTCAGTGGTACAAACCTTTGAAACACTAGCCCAGAATGGCTAACCAGCAGCACACGGTACCACTGGTTTGGCAATGAATAGGTTGCTGATATGGCCCACAGAGTACTGTTGAAGTGTTCAACCACAAAGTTTAAAAGTTTGGTTTAGCCTCTGCCACATTTACCCATTATAAGTATTTAAGACACAAAGTCATGTAGTTGTACCCTTAAAGAGATGGGAGTAAAGAGGTGTTTTGGTTAAGGCCATGTTTCATCTTCATCTAGTTTAGAAAGACAAGTTTGACTCAGCATGATACTGACAGGACAGCTGCTTGGTCCTCAGCAACTGGGAACTCTTAAAGTTACTCTGTACAATGCACTTTTCTTGACCAATACTGCACATATTCTGTCATCCTGTTTAAGGATATTTTAGTGACTATTCGTTATATTTTTGAAAGTTGAAACTAACTTAGTTTTCCTTAAAGAGGGTCCACTCCAAACTAAATATTAGCGCTTTAGTTCTTGATTTCATTTAGTATATCTCAGGGACCACAATCTCCCTTTCAGTTTTCACCGTCATAGTTTTATCGGCAAGTTGTCGCAAAATATGCTGGGAAATCCAAACCCCTGGCTCAGAGGAGTGAGTATTTGGCACCTGAAATGGGCCACTGGAATTCATAATGTGCTTGTCAACTGAGTCGCATCCACTTTGAAACCCTTTGTTTTCCACGTGTAAAGGAGTGAGACAATAATCTTACCTTCAGCTTTCTTGTTTGTACCAACAGCATCCCAAATGCCAGCCCTATTGGTTAGCTCAGAGAAAAGGTGTTCTTGTATAGTGCCCTTAGATGGGTATGGAATGGTAGCGAGGCTAAATGTGGGAACAACATGGAGAATTTCAAAGGTGTGTTTAAATGCACTAGGAGTTAAAGGGAGCATTTTTGTGTACGTTTGTTCTTAAAGATTTTTGTTTTTAACAAAGTTTGTTTTTCTTTGTTAAACTATGATTAGAAGCTCAGTTTTTAAAAAGATGTTAAATATATGTGTCTGAAGCAATGGATTGCACAGAAGTTCGGGTCTGTACAATATATTTAATATCAAGTGCATATTAATTGCCTTTTTATTGTCAAGTGCAATGACCTTTGAAAATGTGACTTTTAATTTAGAAGTTAGAGAAGGAACATTTTCGTCCTGTGGTTGCATGTATAACTTCAGCAGAGAGGGAGGATTTTTGTGCATAGGTGAAAATACATCATTCAAATCCTGTCTCTTCTGTAAATACTCGTATGTGAGGTGTGACAGCTAAAATTTCTGATGTTTCCAGTTTTTATTGGAGACGCGAGGAGTGAAAAAAGAACATGATCCCATAGAAAAATCTTCATACTTCTTATCTTTACTCTGAGCTGTTGCTGACCCTGCCATACCCCAAGGAAGAGGAGGAACAGCAGCTTGTGGAGCACAGGGGGCAGGGGCAGCACACACCTCAAACACTGGACTCCTGAGTATGACGTCTTGCCAAAATCACTGAAGTGCTGAACCTGGGAACGATTAACGCTGACATGTTGCCTTTGCCCGTGACACATGAGGCAGGGGAGAAGCTCGTACATTACAATTAGGAGAGGGATTTTTTGCTGCTTTTCTGACTTATCTTTTACTGGGAAACACAATTCCTATTAATTTTTCACTGAGTAAAAATCATTGTTTTATTTTCAATTGCTGTCGCAAATGTTTTTTAAGAGTTTCACACCACTGTTAACTTTCTACCAACATAGTTGAAATATATTGTAAACTGCCTGTTGGCGGGGAGGGGACAAACTGTTCGAGTTAGCTTTTTGTGAAGCTGTGATTTATTTTTTTCTATAAATTACGAGTTTATAAATTCTTAATTGAAAAATGCATTAACTTGGTATTAAAGTACCATAAATTAATTGATATAAGGTGTTGGTTTACTCTTGTACGTTATCTTTCGGAAATATTGTCATTATCTCTCTCACAGACGTGCTTTAACTTGCTTAGATGTACAGGTCAAATATATGCAGTACTGCCTTCTGTTTCAGAGATACATTTAGTCTCAAGGACTGGATGAGGAATCACATTTCCTCAAGTCCCTCCATGTTCAGCAAAAAGCAGGAAAATAGAAGTAAAACAGAAGGTAGGAACATAGTACAGGTTTGATCCAAAGGGATGGTGGGGCCAATACGCCAAACACTTTTTGGTCTTATCATAGTCTGGTGATTGCTACAGATTCAAAGCTTTTATGAGCTGGAGGGAGAAATGTCCATGAAATGGGGCACCAGCCATAAGGTACATAAGGTGTTTCTGTTATTTTAAGAAAGAGGCATGGGGGTGTATGTGGTGGGTTCATTGAAGGAGTGTGCCTGCCAGATTCTTATTTGTTCTGTCTGTTTGTGGCTTCCAGCTGTCTTCTACACATGTAGTGCTCCATGATTATACAGGGATATAGCCTTCATTCGTAGTCTGCACAAATCTTTAGTCCCCTATATCGAAATCAGTTGTGTGAGTCAGAAACAACACACACACACGCACCCTGGAAACAAAAAGGCACTTAAATTTCACATCAACACCCCAACTTTAAGTAACATGTTATTACTCTTGCTCAATATCAGGCTTCTCCCTTGGCTCGTGAGACTCCAGTGTTTTCCTTTCACACGGCAAAGGTACAGCCTTGCCCTTAACTGCCCTGCACCAGAGTGTACTCAAATTCTGTGACTCATCAAGCTGGATTATTATGAGATTAGAACTTTATTAATTTAATTAGTATCAGAAGTTTATAAATAAGTTTTGTTCAGCGAAGGCTAATACAATGTTTAGTCTATTACTTGAACTCTATGCAGTATAAACAAGCTTCTTAATATCCATGTCAGCATCCAAGGTATAATCTTTCGCTCTAAAGAACCCTAGATCTGTATCAAGTGTTGGAATGCTGTCCTATTACAAGCTGCAGCCTGGACCCAGTATGATTTTTTTTTCTTAATTATAATTGACTGGACTTTATAGAAGTAGTACTCATCAGTCCTGGAGATACAGACAGGCAAATGAGTAGCAGTCCTTTAAAGCTGGGAAGTGGCACAGGAACACTGCTGGAATGATTTGTCCAGATGGACCTATGCTGTCCTGAGGGATCTCCCCGGGCTGGAGAAAAGGACTGGCAGGAACCTGACAGAGCTCAGCAAGGGAAGTGCGAAGTCCCACTCCCGGGAGGAACAAACTCAGGCTCTGACACATGCCTGGGGCCAACCTGCTGGGAAGCAGCTTTGCAGAAAAAGTCCTGGAAATCCTGGTGGATGCCATGTGGAACCATTGTTTGCAGCAATCGCGATGAAGAAGGCAAACAGCACCTTGGGCTGGATCGTCACCAGCAGGTCAAGGGAGGTGATCCTTCCTCTCTACTCAACCCTGGTCAGACATACCTGTTGCACAGAGAAGTTGTTGATGCCTCATCCCTGGAAGTGTTCAGTGCTATATTGGATGGGGCTGTGAGCAACCTGGTCTAGTGGAAGGTGTCCCTGCCCATGGCGAAGGGTTGGAACTGGATCATCCTTAAGGTCCCTTCCAGCGAAAACCATTCTATGATTCTGTGATACCTGGAGTGCTGGAACCAGCTCTGGGATTGCCAGTGTGAGAGAGACACAGGCATACCTGAGGGATACCCGTGGCAGGCCACAAAGATGGATAAAGTGTTGGAGCATGTGTCATCTGAGAGAAGCTGAGACACCTGGGACCACTCAGCTTGGAGAGAGCTCAGATATAAATTCCTGCCACATACTAAAGGCCATAGAGCCAGACCCTTCTCAGTGGTGCCCAGTGACAGGACAAGAGGCAAAGGTCACAAGGAAACACAGGAAACCTCATTCAAACAAAAGAAAACAATGTTTTATTCTGATGGTGATCACACAAGGGAGGAGGTTGCTTTGAAGGGTTGTGGAGTCTCCATCCTCCAAGATACTCCAAAGCCGATGGGACATGGCCCTGGTCTCACTGACCCTGCTCTGAGCAGGGTGTTGTCCCAGACAATCAGAGATGTCCTCCTGCCTTAGCCCATTAGGCCTGGTTAGGTCAGCCACAGCTCATCTCCAGCAAAGGCTCAAGGCTTGAGCTGGCTCAGAATAAATGCCGGGGAAAAGTCCATCCCAATTTACTTGGACAAAACCAGTTGACTGTGTATGAACCAGTTGTCACCCACTGTTGTATTTCAACATTATTCAGCTGGCATTATTATTCTGTTACCCTGTGTACGTATTTGCTTTGGAAGAGCCAGGCCTATTGTGTGGGCTGATTATCTGGCTTGGTTTAGTCCTGAGAGACATTCTTTCAAGCAGCTGCAGTGTGAGTTCAAGTGGAATGATTGCTTTGGTCCAGTACCCTATTTTTCATAGGGAATTATAGCACCAGGTGCTTCAAAGTAGCCCAAAAGGCAAGCATGGGATAACGTGTTTCCAAAGATAACACAGTTAAATTGCCATTAGCAAAACCTAAAAATATGGGTTCCTTAAATTTTTGTAATAGAAAGACATCAGTTTGGGAGTAATTTTTTTCTGTCTGTAGTGTTTATTCTTCAAACCTACGGGCTACCGGTCTGGGGGTTCCTTCTCTGGCTGTTCAAAGTACATCCACTTCAGTTGGAAGGATCTCCTGGATTTTCAGCTCTGCAGGGATGAAG